GTGTTATCGGTGCTGCATATATGCTGAAAAAAGTGAAAAAACAGCATAAATTCCCTAAAAGTGACCCGATCATGCTGATTTTCGAACTTGACCTGCGTATTATGAATATTCATCAGTTCTGTAAGTTTCAAGTCAAAAGGTAAAATGGTTTTCCACTTATCGTGTTATCGGTGCTGCATATATGCTGAAAAAAGTGAAAAAACAGCATAAATTCCCTAAAAATGACCCGATCATGCTGATTTTCGAACTTGACCTGCGTATTATGAATATTCATCAGTTCTGCAAGTTTCAAGTCAAAAGGTAAAATGGTTTTCCACTTATCGTGTTATCGGTAAAAGTGCACGACGGCGACGACGGCGACGACGGCGACGACAGACGCAGATGATGGCTATATGTACAGACACATCTGTGTCTGTACATAAAAATAGTTGGACAACATGTAAAATGTGAGAGTATCAGTTTGCCAGTGCAGCAGGATATCTGGGTAATTTAAGGAAACTGACTACAATCCACAAATTAAACAATTCATATTAGTTTGTGGATCCATCACCATGATATACACAATGTGAACAACATTAGGATGAAGTATACAATTAATAGCCAATTGGCAATGATCATTTGCTGTGTTAAACTCCTTCTAGTAAAGTACAAAAGTTAAATTGGGCATTTGACTGGCTAAAGATTAATATTTTTTCAAAAGCCCTTGCAAGGCAAAAAAAAATTAAAATGGTGCTCATACTTTGTCAAATATTCATTATTTTTTTAAAGAAAATTCTTTTACAAAATGAGTTAATATTTATAAAAGGGCAAATGAGTTTTTAAAAAATTAGCACTAATAACTTATCATATAACATAAACATCAAAAAATACTGTGTTTTACCAGCTGTTATAGCACAGCACACATGACACAAAGACTTAAGAGCATTAATAAATATAATTTAAATGCCTCCTATGATGATGGGAAGAGAGGGGATAATGACAAATGGGAATATATGCTAAATGGTCTAGCAGTAATAAATTATATTGTCATATATACTAATATATATGTATTAAGAAGGATTACACAGAAGAGTACGAGGTTTATTAATACATAATGCTCAACTTTGGAAGTTGAACACATGATTTTAGAACATGATCAATACAGAAATGTGACTAGAGATTTTAAATGTCAAAATAATACGCCTGTGTTTGTCATCGGGATCATCAGAGTCTCTTTTATGATCAGTTAACTCTGGCACAGTTGTGTTGTGTCCTCTTGCAGCCAGAGTAGTTATAGCAAAGCCAGAACCAGTTCACCACCACATATAGTTTAAACAGATTTACTTCTTTCTCCCTGTCTTAATAATGATTGTAACCATAATCAATCCCTGAACAACAAAGCAATCATATATATTAAATTTTACAACACAAAATATGTGACCCATCCATACCAAAAAAAAAAAAAGACATTATTTATGTGATATTTTAACTTTTAAACCCTTGTTCCATCACATGGAATTTATATGGATTGCCCCAGCCCAAATATGATATGAGATTGGCACAGTGTACCTTTTGCACCTTAAAAATCAAACATTCTGAATGTTGCTTGCATTCATATGGTTATCAAGCTGTGTAGCCATGTTTTCAAGTTCTTCAATATCTCTGTTTGATCGCTCATACTTGTGGGACACCAGCTGTCGGTAAAAATGAATGGCAAATCCGATGAGTAAAACAACCACTGGCACAATCAGAACAGTAGATGCCAGAGCAGCATAATAACTGTACATGCTGAATTTCACCCAGCATAACAGGGCTATTTCTGCAAGAAATAAAAGAATCCCAATACCTGTTGAAAAGGCCCATGCCATCTGAATATAGCAGTTCATCTGATCATGAGGGGATTCTAGCACAGCATTGACATTATGCACATTACTAACTGCCTCAATATTTGGTAGAATACATGTGCTGATGAGCAGGGCCAACATATGAACTGCAACGAGAAGGGTAGTTGTCACACTGAAGGCTATAAGAAGACTCTCTGGAGTACTCTTCTCTAACTGAACTTCCACCATAGCAACCTAAAAAACATATGCATAATGTTCATGTCTACTGGTAGTTACTGTCTGACCTAATCACATCTTTAGAAAAAACCTAAAATATGCACATTTCAAGAATATGTGTAAAACCCATTCCCTTTGTAAATTGGCTTTGTTCATTACATCTGCATCCTAGGATAATTTCGATTTTCTTTTAAGGAAGTTGCTGTAGTCTCAGTGTGAGTGTATAGCCTCCCCATACTAATACTTACCACAGTTGTTAGCACTTCTACTAACACTTGCTGATGTGTGTGTGTGTGTGTGTGTGTGTGTGTGCACGTGTGAGTGGACATGGTATTCAGGAGTGTTAATGCATGAATTTCTGTGCTACTGGTACACATTTGCATACACATATATATGTAATTGTAAGCATTATAAGCAATGTGAATATTGTGACTGTCCAGGCCTTTCACCACTGACTGAGAGTGACTAAGGTAAAGGTTGGTATTGTACCTTACCCTGGGTATTATATGTTTAAAATATATCTGGCGTACAAGGAAATGAACAAAATTTTTTATTTACATATTTTAAAGGTAAACTGTACGTGTTTAAAATTTTCTAGGTCATATTTTCTGTGTCTACGTATCCTGCAATGCAATGCAATTAAATTCCCAATTCACCCCTTAAAAGCTACAAACACCTACAAATTAAATTGTTTTTACGTCTTTCCAGAATGTACAGACACGGCGTTTCATAAATGACATGCTACAGCGGTCCTACGAAAATACGAAAACTGCGAAAACCGCGAAAACCAGAAGTTGCTAGGCGAAAACCTCACTATAACTTACCAATTCTCGATGTTCTTGACAAGTTGCTGTAATATTTGGATAACTTGGACCATATTACATACATCATGACCTTTGATAACGATGTTGTAATGAATTGAGTATGTTACAGCTGAGTTTCCTAGATCGGCAACTATAGTGCGTGGGAGCCATGTTTGGTTTACAATTGGCATATATAAACAGCAGTGTCCCCTCAGGCCAGTATTGCCATATCAGGCCAGTATTGCCCTCTCATGCCAGTAATGCTCTCTCAGGCATATGAATGTGGATAACATNTTATCTGGAATACCTTCTCTACCTATTGCCTTACTTGTTTCATTATCATGGATGCACTTTTATAGGGTTTTTATCCACCGTAATTCGAATTGGAGCTCCGTGAAGTGTGCCGTACGCAGAAAGTGAGGCGTTTTCTATGGAAATTTACAGAAAGTCGGGAGGATATTTTGTGATTTCTTTCTTATTCTCAAATATTTTGGCTACATCTTACTCAATTTATTTGTAACATTTTATAATGCTGGTTTTAAAGGTAATTTTGGAAACAAAAGCTTCAGATTCAACATTTTGAAGACTTGCCCACGATGTACATAGTTTCATTTGAGTGACATAGGCGACGTCAGCATGAGCAGGCGTTGTCGAGATTTTCTCTACAAAAAAACACGCAAGCATGAATATTCTTCAAATAAAACGTTTTCTTAGTAAGGCTATGTGGAGACATTGCATTTGATATTATTATTGGTATTAAGATCATGAAAATGAATATGTTTATGGTAATAAACGAATTGTCTCTAAATCTGAAGAACATAAGGTAGAACGGAGACCGACTTACCGAAAAGGTCCTCCGTTTTTTTTTTTTTTTTCAAAAGCAGTTTTTATGATTTCAGATAGCCTTTTTATAGAGTTTTTAAAGGTAGAATAATTATTAATTTAGTTTTGCTTATTTATTTTTATTTCAGCATTTAAAAAAAAATCAGGGTGAAGTAAATAATACCATAAATGGATTTATCTATAGCATTGGTTTTCTCGTACACTTTTTAACAAAATAGGATATGGCAATTTCGGTGGCGTTTTTGCAATCAGATGTAAAATAAAAAATTAAAGAAGCACAAATCGGCGCCATTCCATGTAAATAGGTCACCATAAGATTGAAATTTAGCATTTTATTAAAAAAAACATCGTTTTAATGAATTTTATTTTATAACTCTTTTTTTATTATAATACCTGGTCTGGTTCTCCCAAGTGCATCAAATCACTTAGATATGCGACAATATTTTTAAAGAAAATGAGTTATGAGTGATAGTTCAGTTTGATAGCTATGAAAGTCAGACGTAGTGTACAATAAGTAAACATATTTGATTTGTGAGCGTTAGCAGCCTCAACGTTTGGTGCTGTTGAAATGAACATCGCTCGCTGACTGTACTTTGGTGTAGCACTGTCGTTTTTCTGGCGTAGTGTGGAATGCTCAAATAAGCAGAATGCGTATAATTTTAATGGACTGTTTACGGAAATGAATGGACAATTTTCTGGGGTTCTGAATTGTGAGTGTATGCTGATTGCGTAAGTGCGTAATAGTTGTGACCTTGTTTTTCAACAGGTGTACGGGTATTCATGTTTGGCGCAAGGTTTCCCGTAGTCCCGCAAAAGGCCCTACAATTATGCTGTACAGTTCGATCCGTTTTCTTTTCAACATTCAAATACTCCTGTTAAATGAAGGATTATGTCGCCTAGCTGTAAAAGCTGTTGGTTCTCAACTGACATGTTATTGTCCATTTTTCTCGCTGCAGTTGTATTATCATCGAGTATGCGATTGTTGTGTGGTCAGTGAAGTGTTTGCTCCAGTGCGTATGTAGTTGTTTTACTTCTGTATTTATTTCTTATCTCTTAACATCAAATATTGTCTTTTACTAACATTGGTCGGCGTCAGTTTAAATGACCAACAGTATTGTGCCTTCCCAGTACATATTTTTCACGAGTAAAATAATTATAATACACAAGAAATAAAGATGCATCACAACATACACCGAATTCTTGTTGCAATCTTGCTGATAAGTAAGCTTTATCGCTCATGGCTGTCAGTAACGGGTGTCTACAAACCAATGAAAAAAATGAAGTTGAGAAAGTCGACATATTACGTAATGAAACTATTGGTTCTGCAAGTCCAAGGTAGGTGGTTTGCAGGAATATGCAATAGATACGCTATGAGGCAATTCTTTATGATTGATCTGGTAGTAGTTTAGGTTTATTGGTTGTAGTCAATAAATTCTACCACACAAGGGTTGTGTGGGGGAGGGGAGGGGGAGTTGCAGAATATACCATCGCTTCACCGTAACACCGCTATTAAGTACCACTAAATACGGAGGAACTGCACAATTTTGATTTATAATAAAACAAAATACTTCGAGTAATAATGGCCGTAATAATTGCCAGTCTGAAACGTTTTCCAGCAGAGATTTTGAACTGTAACATTTGAAGTGCAAGTGTGCCATAACGCCTTATTTGATATGAAATTACCTGACAAATAAAGTTACGTGAAAATTAAGTGTTGGGTATGTCCCTACAAGCGTTAAATTTAGCTTTGATTTACGGACGGGTTTGAGTTTCTTATTTGAGCTACAAAGGTGAAGGTCCTCTATTCGGGATTTACCCATCAAGATGAACTTTCCTCAAAAAAAGTATTTTTCTATCAGATCACTCGTTGCTTGACCTATCTCTGCAATTGATTTCTTAAATATTCCATTTTTAATTTGATGATTGAGTTCTTTATGACTGGCCAGTCATTTAGAACGTCATGTCTTCCTATACATTGCAGAAGTCGAACAAATTTTTTGAGGGGCTTTATAGTCGATCTTTTAAGTCTGAATTGGGAGAGATTAGTAGCTTTGCAGGACATGCCAACATAGATAATGTTATTTGGAGAAAGTTTCAAACGCTTACAGTGTATCTTCAATCTACGCATTCGAGCAATGATTTTACTTCGGTGAATAGATCGCATCACAGCTTTTCACAGTAGCGATATGCTGATATTTCTAATTAAACGAATATCTAAAGCCGTCTTGCATTTCAAACGCGCAGATTAAAAAATGGTTAATTTGTTTAAGTTATATGCTTCAATAGTTTTTAAACTAATGTATTCATGATAATATTTTTCCTCACCAGGTTCGGAAATCTGATAACGATTAAGTTGTAACTTGAGCAAGAGCTACTTTTTAATTTATTTTCTTTGGTATCCAGTATGTGACCGTTAACACTATTTTACGAGAGAAACTATTTTACATGCGATGAGATGTTCAGTTTTTACTAATGTTTAATTAGAATCGCATTTTCGTTGTTTTAGCGCGCCACTGAACGGAAGAAATACACAGATGAAAGTATAAGTGACGACGAACTTGAAGGAAAGAGGACTTTTGATTTGGAAGACAAACTTACGAGCAGCAAATATGATAACACAAAATTCATCAAAGAAATGAAGGGGGATGGTAAGTATTATGGAGATTTTATTTGTTATATCTCAATTTTCACAGTTGTGGTTTTTGCAGATTACGTGATTCGTTCTTAGTACATACCCAGTTCATGTAAGTTATTTTGTACATGACGATTTGTATTCAAAATGTAAACGTGTATTTTTCTACTGTATGCACGAAGCATTGCTTAAAGTAAAGAGAAAATGCGTTGTTATCGCGTGGAGAATACAGTAATAATGGATATTCCATGAGGAGTTGGAAAGCGAGAAACTGTTCAATGCGAGTAATAAAAAAAATGAACCATTACATTTTAACACTATTTAAGTGATTCAAGTTTGATTTTTTATGAAATGCTTTTTTATTGAATCGACCAAGGTAATAGATCAGGCCCTTTATTCGACTCCGCTGAGATCTGTTGATATAATTCCGAAGCGTGCGCGTCTTCTTTTGGATTAATACATGTATATTACTTTTCGCTTTGATGGACCTATGTAAAATACATGTATTTTAGCCTGAAATTGTTGTATTGTACAATATACTACACAGGATGTTTGCGGATGAAATCTGTTGATAATCGTGCAAGGCCTATCATTATCAGCAAATGTGGATAGAAGTGCTGCATTAGTATACAGGTGCCGATAATACCTTGTTCATATGTATATGGGGTGCGTATGGGCCTGCCGAAATCTCGATTGTAATATCGATTTTACCTTATCTCAACAAGAACGACTTGTTTATGATACGAATATCGGGATTTTTATTGTTGTCTTCAGTCGGATATTATGTCTGGCATGAAATACACGGAAGAGCTTCTACGCGAGCACGATGTAAATGGGTTGCATCTGCTGTGACCTACTTTCTCCGCACTAGCACATAAAATCATCTTGCAAGTTTTGGTGATATGTCTATTGTTTTTGATGAAGATACGACCAAAAATATTAAACTGAAACTATCTTAACGAAAAGACAGTTCGACAGTTCGTGATGGAGACGAACAGCCGCAACAAACCAACAGAGCTCACTTCTCAAATTATGTCGGTGTTATGTGCTTGTCACTCCCTTGATATTTTGAAATCAATAAATCTTTGTCTGCTTTGTAGGCGTGGTTGTAAGATTTAATGTGTTCTTGTTAACGTAAAATATGCGGCGCTAAAATTGAAATCGGTGCAGTGTTCTGTACAAGTGCGGAAGTAAATGACAGCAACATGCAATTATTTTTGTTGCAATTTTTACATAAATTTACTTTGATTTGCCAAAACTGAAAAATCGAAGTAAGGTGCTAGATTGTTTGTATAACTATTTATATCATTTTTAGAAATCAGTCTTAAGTACATCCAAGAGCATGGATTGACTGAACCAATTCTTGTGAAGGAGAAGACAGGGTTAGGCATGAGGTGAGAAAAATTGCTGTAATTTTTATCTATCTTTGAATTTTTATTTACAAACTAGGTATTTGAGAAAGCAGTAAGAACAGTTATTTGATTAAAATATTTTATTTGGATGTTTAAATTCATTGAAAGTCACATTTACTTTTGTACTTAGTGATGGTAAGATGTTGTGATTGTTACACAGATTTGTATTACTGCCTAGTGTACTTTATGTTAAAGGTTACCAAGTAATAATTTTCAAGTCAGTGATGTGAAGCAGTGTGTTGGTAAGTGCAAGGGACTTTGTATCATTTGATTCAAGGTCTGTTTTTTTTTTTTTTTTTTTT